TGTGTGATTTTCAGAAGCTTATATTTTTGGTTCCACACTTTTGTATTCATATGTGACAAACCAATGTATTAAGCTAAAACATTTAAGGGTGTTGTCTTTTATTTAACTGTAGTCAGTCAATATAAATATTAAACTAAAATAAATAATTATTATTTAAACTAACTTAATTTTGTTTATACATTTTTTCATACTAAAAATAGTGCTGTAAAATTGAATATTTTTTCTAGTGTAGGTACTTTTAAACTGTAATAAAATTAAAACGTGTGCATTATACATAACATGAATACATGACTGATGGTTGTTTAAAAATAGTCATTATTATGTGATTATATTAATTCAAAGAATTAGTTCTTAAATCATAAATCATATCAGATTAAAATATTGAATGATGGTCATCTTAATAACACGTATCAATAAAACCAAATAGCAGTATGATATYGTTGTAATTTTTATAAGTTAACTATATAAATAATTTTTTATAATAGTATAATAATATTATATTATAAGAAATAATCTGTATAAATTTATACAAAACAACAGAAAAAATAAAATAAAGTATAGTCAATACATTTTCAACAATAAAAAAATATTTATTCATCTCACAAATAGTACAATGAATAGAATTTGTATTATGCATTACCTATTATGAGAAATAAAAAATATTAAATAACAATTTGGTAATAAAGTCAATAACGTGGTCCAGTTTCTAAATTACAGTGCTAAAAACATAAATATTTTATACTTAAATTGTCTTAAATAAGTTCAATGATTATTTAAATACCATGTTTATGATTTTTGGGTTTCATTTGGTTGAACTATCGTACACTTTGGTTTATTTCTAGTTATTAATATTTTAGGTTTTCTATAYAACTTGAGTGGACGCTGAAATCCTTTAGATGGATTATAAGGCATAGTAAGGGTTTCACAGTTGGCAAAACCAACTTCGTTCAACAGATAGTCTGTAAACATTGGAGGTTTCAACAGAATGTTTTTGTAATTTCTCCAAATGGTTTCCTAAAATTATACATTAAACAAAATCAGTAAAGATTCTATTAATATTATTAACATYATCATCACATTTACCGTCAATGTTTTCCTGCGACTGTAAGATTTCCACGGCTGAGGCTCCACCACAAGTATTCCACCGGGTCGCAATTGGGCAAACATACGTTTAAATGCTCGTTTCAAACCATCATCGCCCCAGTTCAAGTGAAGCCATTTGGTAATACTTAAACAAAGAATAACGTCGAACTTACACGTTTCCAATGAAAGTAAAAAATCAGATTCTAATACATAATTTCCCTGAAACATTGATTTTGTGAAAAACTTGGATTTGTGAAATTACTACTCATTTTTTGTTTAACTAACCTGTACAAAAGAGACGTTGTAAGGAAATCTTCCAGATAGTGTTAAACCAGCTAAATTAATTGGACCATATAACATAGGTAATGATATAGGAAATGATTCAATTATATCACAGTCTGGATCATTACTGTTTCTTGAAGCAAAATCTTTAAAATGGTAATTTGAAGATAGATGTGAGGAAGTCTGTGCTGTATCATTAATGTAATACTGTACATTTTTGCGTGCAATATTTATTAGTTTACGGTCAATATCCATTCCTACGACAGACTTTGCACCAAAATCTCTGGCAACACTGAAAGTAACATGACCAATATTGCAGCCAATGTCCAACACGTCCTTGCCATAAAATAAATCCATACGTTCACCTAAGACTTTCAGTCTATTATCTTCATCATCTGGATTACGATAACCATAATATCTAAAAYATAAAACATTTGGTTTAAAAACAATAAGTTTGACAAATATATACACAACATAAATGTAAATAAACATTTATTTGCATCAAAATATATAATTTTTTTTTGTAAATATGCCCGTAAATATGTATGTTTGAAATTATATTTATGTAGATTGATAATAATTTTAAACTAAAACAGTATTTGATTGATTAATGCTTTCATATTTATTTCTATTCAAGATTTACTGAAATTTTTAGTCAAACTATTACTTCCATAATATATTAACCAATAATTATAAAAAAAAAATCTTAGATACAGTAAATCATTGATTTACACAATCTAATGTGTTCAATTATTTATTTTGTAAA